GCGTCATTACATAAACCAACCGTTAATCTCTGTTTCAAGGCAGGTGATCTTCTGCTCCAGTTGTTCCTTTTCTCTCGCCGACTGGAAGAAAATATGTCAAAACAGTTATTTTGGAATTAACGAAATTAGGAGTGAACAAGATCATTCGGGATACAGAACATTATTAACTTCCAGCCGAAAGATGGTGGCGTGTCAAAGAGTGGCGTCATAATCTAAGAATTTCTGTTCCTCGCGCTTTTCAGTCTCTTCATGAAAATATTTTTTCAAACTCATTTACCTGAAAACCTTTGATGCAAAAAATTCCATTTGTATTCAATTTTTTTCAAATGTTTGACAGACTCAAAACTAAGCCAATTTTAGAGATAACCGATTTTAAATTCAATTTGAATTATTTTTGACTTATTTCTATGGCAAATGTATTTAATGAAGTACATTCGCGCGTTTGCGAAAAACCAATTACTTAAGGTTTTTTACTGTGCTTCTCCGGTTACATAAGAAACGGTTTTGCAAAATTGTAATTTCAAATAAGAAAAAGCTCAATTAATGGGGAACGCCCACCTCATTAGCCATGATCCACGCTCCGTGTGAGGCCTCCAGAGGCTCGTGATAATACTTAGCGGAACGATTAGTAATATTGACTCCTTCATCAAATATTCTCGCAGCAAAGAATTTCCTCACGGACTCCTTGTCGCCTGCAGTGTTTTTGTTCATTTTGTAATTCTTATCTTCACTCGACTCATTCGATGAACACCAAAAATCCTTTTTCTCTCTCTTTGCTTCAGCAAGAACCAAGCTCTTGATGCGAAAAAAGTTTCGATTTGTTTATGACCAGTTGCATAGTAACATGTTTGTGCCGTCACTTCTTGACATCACACCGGAGTTGAAGCGTTAAGCCTGGGCACTAGATTATTGGTTGAAGCGTCAAAGCCAGAGTTAGAAATAAAAACCCTTTTACAATATTAAATCGCATAAGAAATTGTTTACGGTTCGCTGGATGTTTTTCGCGATGTTTAGGAGGGCTTCCCTTGGATACAGTTCATGGATCTGACAAATGATTCATCGGTTCTGATAATCTCTCGCTGCTTCCCATGGCCAAGATTGAACATGTTAACCTTTGTGTAGTGTGTGCATTAAGTGACTGTGATGTACTCCATTTCACCATGTTTTTATCAAAATTTTTAAGTTAGAAGAGTTTTGAAGCTTTGTTACAAATCTGACTTGTACCCTCACGCTTCGCCTTTCCCCCTTTCCTCTGTTCCTCTATTCTTCTTTTCCTCTATTTTTTCGTTCCTTTGTTCTTCATTTTCTCTTTCTTTTCCCTTTTTCCTCTGTTCTTTTGTTCCTTTGTTGCAATGTTCCTATTTTTCTCTGTTCCTGTGTTCTTGTGTTCATCTGTTTCTCTGTTCTTCTGTTCTTCGCTTCCTGTGTTCCTCGATAATACTGTTCTTTTGTTTGTCTCTTCTTCTGTGCTCCCTTTATCTCCGTTTCCCTGTGTTCCTTCATCTCATCTTCCGCGTGCCTTCTACTCTACCACTGCACGTGTTTCCCGCTTCCTGCATTCCGTTGTCTCGTTCCATAGTTATTTCTTTCCTCTATTCCCATATTTTTCGCGAAACTATTCCTTCTTTCGACCATTCTCTAGTTTTCCCCTTTCCTCTGCTCTCCTAACATCCAATTCGCTAATATGATTTGATTGGAAACAATTGCATACCAGTCAAAGTAACAAAGTAATAACTCATTCAAAATAATTTTTTTTCTTCTGGTGGTTGGGTGAGGAGCTAGTGGCAGCGTTTACCCACGGATCTTTGCGATCGTAGTTGCTTCCGCCATCTTTCACTTGTGCGCTGCAGATTTGACTGTTTGTCTATTTACATTTCAGCAATTCCTAACTTCGTTTCGTGGTAAACATCGCCTGAGCTGTTTTGCGCACTCACACGTAGCCAGAATGGCACACATATTGGATTCATATGGCAGGTAAATTAAAGTTTAAAATCACTCTTACAAAGTGATTCAAGTTTAACATCACGCGCATAATTCAACTTTGTTTTACAAAGTACCATACAATTTAGGTGGTCGTATAATATTGCAGCTCGTTGTTTACGTGTATTTGCTCTATAAGGGGGAGTTTCTTTTTACGTTTAGTAGAGGACACCATTTTGTTGTTCAAACGGCTTGTGTTTATACCTTGCGGGTGCTGTCAGTATTTGCCCGCAGGATGTAAAGTTTGTGGCGCATGTATTGCTCAGTCTTGAATGAATTCAAGTTTTCCAATAGTTAGCAAAGGTAGATTTGAAACTATAATCATACAAATATTGTGAAACATATGAACTAAACCTCACCCTGGGTAACTGGTAGCTTTATACACCGGTCTTCCTTCTGTAAGACTCTGGCATTATTGGTGAATTCAATCTTAAAAAAAAAAAAAAAAAATCGAAAACCAGTCTTAATATCATCATCCGAAAAACCATCATCTTGCTTGACCTTGAAGATTATCTTCCACAAGCCACAAAGTTATCTTTTATCAGAATATACTTTGAATAGGTTGGAATACTGTAGGCCCTTCTCTAAATGAGAAAGGAACTTAAAATGTGTTACACTAAAGAGACTTTCTGTATAGCAGCAACGTAAATAGTCCAAATAGATTCAGCATAGACTGCATTTGCAACTCTTGATTTTGAAGGAAAGGCAACTTGACATTGTTGACATTCATTTCTCACTTGAAGTGTTACCCCACTATCACCATAGAAATTTTTTTTTTGTGTAAGAAGATTTTATATTGTCAGCCAAAAAGGCAATTGGGTAAGGGAGACTAAGATTGTATGGCATGTTTTTCTTATTTATTTATGTATCCCATATTGTTTTTATAGCACAAACATTATTACTACAGGTAACTATTTTTCCTGAAATTAAGGTAAGCCAGACTACTAAATTATTTGCTCTGATGAAGGACTAATGCTCCTGACTTCAGCTTAGAAACTCTTTACATTGGCCAATCAATCAACTAATTTGATAAAACTAAATTATCTTGTTTTACTCCCTCAGGATGCAGCACTACTGTTAGAAACTTACTACTTGTACCAAAATTAATAACCATATGAATGATTCCTATCAGTTTAAATAAGTATACTTTCACCACCTCTTTTAATTCTATATTTTTCCTATACAGATTTTTATTGTACATTGAGTTTGTGTTCATGTGATTTACAGTCACAAGATACATATAGCTTCATAAGAATGAATTCCTCAGATTTTGCTGCTCGATGATATTCTAATTTCTTTCAAGGTCCGCACCCAAATCTTTCATCTTGTTTCTTTACAGAGGATAGTAGCCCTTTGTGATGAAGTTAAAATTTATTTTGATAAAATGGAAATTGAATACAAAACCATAACAAAGTTTGATCAACTTGCAAATTCCTGGTTGAGGTAACAGTAATGACAGACTGCATGAATAAATGGAAAGCCACTGTATTACATCAGTCTTAAGATAACTGGTTTGACACTGTTTTATGCTTATATTTATACTAAAAATAAGAACTAGTTACCTTGCTTAGCCCTGGTATGTGAGGCTGACCCAAAAACTTAAGCAACGTTCTTGTTACCAGAGAGGCAAGCCTCTTCACTGGATTTAGATCACACACTGAAAAAACAAACAAAAAAACAAATGAAAGAAACTGTTTTTAGTCTAAATATTTCTCATGATTTGAGTAATTAAACTGAATGAAATAGGCAGAATCAAACCATATGTTCTATGTGAATTAAATTCAGGTAACTCTAATTACTTTTCATTGGAAGTGACATGCGTGGTTGTGTATGGTTAAATTTGTACTTAAATTATCACTCAATAAAAACTTGTGAATACTGCAAATAATATTTCATTTTTGTGTGGGTAGAGTATAGAGAAAGAGTGTTATTGCTTTGAGTAGTTGTGGATACTAATTATAATCACACAAATAGAGTAAACCAGTAATTAAACAGGCTTGGACTTTGACTATGTCAAGCATTATTGATTTGACTGATGAGTCTTGCTTTTGAGTAACATCTCTAATAAGTGTTCGGTTACACCAGGTATGCCATCAAGTAATACAATTAATGTATATTCGCAGGAAATCAAAGTTATTGTCCATGAGATGATGTTGGTAAATGCTTAGTGACTTGCAGGGGTAGGGAGTGGGAGATGAATTATTGTTGTGTACTTGATAAATACAGTGTAATCTCTCAGGTTAGAATTTGTATTATTCCTTTGTGGAGAGAGGCCATGTGGGAGCCAAGCGTTTGGCCAAAAAAAAAACATAAAGAAGGCTTTAATGTAGAACAAACCATTTTGTGGACCATGTCCTCCAGTATATCAGGTTGAAAACTTCTGACTTGAAGTCTCATTACCCGTGTGTCTGCTTGTTTTACAACGATCTTTTAATGTGGAATGTTTATACCATGCTCAATAAAGTTTGTCTCTTTCAAGGGTTTGATTAAATTCCTGCCAATACCCCTTCCCCTTCTTTTCTATGAGAAAAATCACAGGAGCATCAGTTTCTCTAGTGTTGGAAAAAATTAGCATATAGGCAAGCTAAATTTTTCTCAATGAATGGTGGTTATCCAGAGTGGAAAGCATTTAGTGAATGCACAGTTACATGCGGGGGAGGTGTTTACTAAAGGACAAGAATGAACCGACTCTGCGCCAGATAACAGAGTTCAGAACTGTGGGAGACTGGGCCCAGCAATGGAGTCTGAGCAGTTTAATGCTGAACCGTGTCCCTCAAAGGCCGCCGAGGATCAAGGGTAAATTAGCAAATTGGGCTGATATTAATCGTTTTGTCATGTGGGTGAGACAAAGATGAAGAATCTAGGTTTCTCATTAGGAATCTAACCACAAACATTCAGATTCTGCTCTACCTCTTGGTGGAAGCTTATAACCCAAAGCTCCAAAGTTGCCATATTTCTTGGGGCGGTTTTTCGCCATACTCCTCTGCCGTATTGGTTCGATAATTTTGTTTTGTAGCTACTCTTTGAAGTTGACTTACTTTGATAAAAATCTTTTATTGCTTAAAAGTAATTTTCACTTGCGCATTTGGTTGGCCATGTGCTGATTGGTCCTGCAAACTCGCGCTCCCTTCAGCGTTTATTTGCGCTTCAGGCAGCATGCTTGACTCTGCGTTGAGTTTTCATTGGCTATTTTTTATATATACCTTTGTTCTGATCGGCCGTTGTGGTTTGGTTTTGGTTTTGCGGCATTCAATACTAGGAATGCGTCTCCTTTTCTAACATAGGAAAACAAATGACGAAGATGACTAGAAAAACAAAGCCGACAGAAAGGAAGTGAATATGCAGAAGAGAGTGAAAAACCACAAGATGACGAGAAAAACGAAGCCGGGAAGATGTAGAAAAAAGTGTAAAACCAAAAGAAGAAACGCAACTAAATTTTTAGTAACCCTATGTAAGTTCTCTGTTTCATTTCTACGCGGATTTTAGACGTGTTTGGATTTTATCTCCTTTTGAACGGCTTTTTACTTGGGCCACGTATGCTACTCTTTCGTTAAGTATTCAAAATCGTTCTGAAATTTTCATCATCTTAACCTATGAAAGATTTGTCACAACTGATGGAAGTAGATTAATTTGTTGGCCAGTCTGGAGAAGACAAGAAAATGTCTCACAGTTTCACGTGTGTTTTCCTGCGCTTTTGGCAATTTGCATGTCTTTGCTTTGAGTGGCTGATAATAATGTTGCTCTTTGTTATGATTGGCCGTTGTGTTTACTCTGGTTTTGCATTTGAAAAGGAGTTGGCTGAATGTAGACATGTCAAGTCAGCGGCAATTACACCCAGTTTACACTTACTCCACCTATTTGTGTTAGTTCTCACTGTTATCAGAACTGTCATATCCGCATGCACTGAATGATATAAAAAACTTTCGGAAGGTTAATAAATAATGGTAATTGAACTGAGTGGAGTGCAATTTGGGCTGAAATCATACGCATGATTTCAGAATGGGAGCGCGCAGCGCGAGTTCGATTTGAAATCACAAGTATGATTTCAGACGAAAATTGCAGGACACGAGGTTCAATTACCACTTTATTACATCCATTTTGAAATCGCCCAAATACAGGACTTGGTCAAATATTTTATTGATGCAGTACTGAGCCGGTTTGAAATTAAATTCATTCCTTTTCTGGGGGAAAAATTAGAGTTTTAGAGACAAAATTAGCAACATGATAGTCTTTGTCTTCCATTTTCCTGCAATTTGATGGGTTACTTTAAACAAGCCTTGAAATCTGATTGGTTGTTTTGTTTTTTAGTGTAGCCTCCTTATTGGCTGGGAAAAAGATGCGATTTAAAGCAAAAATTGTGCGATTCGTGAATAAATCGCACCAATTAGTGCCAATCAGATTACAGGGACCACCAGTGATTTCAAAATGAGTGTAATAAAAGATTACAACGGCACTCAGTTAATATTAGAGAGGTATTTATTAAATTATTTATAAATAATGGGTTGTTATAGACCACGCTAATTAAAAGCAGATATACTCAGTATACTTTTTTAAACTGATTGTGTCTTCAGGAGTATAGCTTATTTTCTATTTCATGTTTATTTGAATAAAAACGATAACAAATTTTGTTAGCATTCACCAAATAGTTATCTAACGTGACAATGCTATATACATATTTACAAAATAATTTTTCTAACAAAGTCCTGAAAATTGAAATTCTTGTTCAGTTAGACTTGGTTGTTTGATCAATTTGCGTACAAAAGTTTTCAAAGATGATGCATGATAAAGAATTCAAAATAGCAAACAACGCCCGGCTTTGAAATTTTTAAGAATTAGAGAGAGTTGAACTTGGGTAGCCTGCATTGAAGGTGATCTGTAAAAAGAAAAGAGAATCAGAGTCAATTCCTCAATTTTAAGTCAAACGAAAATAAAAATAGTACCACAGTCAACGCAATGCTGAATTATTGACGGGTTTGTGGCGATTTGATTTTTAGCAACTTACCAGTTTGAGGAATGGAGTGTTGATTGATTTGCTGGTAAGCGAAACCTACTTGAGTTCCACTGGGAACAGTGC